CTGAACCCCTCGGCTGCTTTGCTAAGAGGTTGCTAAACAGCAGATAGGAAGATCCTCCTGGATTATGTTTGGGCCCAGTGTAATCAAGGGATCCTTAAAAGTGGAGGAGGGAGGCAGAAGTGAGTCAGAGGGACGTGTGGGCAATGGAAGAAGGTCAGAGGGATGAACATTGCTGGCTCTGCAGCCGAAGGAGAGGCGACAAGCCCAGGAAAGCAGGTGCCTCCAGAGGGAAACAGCCCCCTCACAGATGGTGTGAGGGCCCCGACTCTGCAGAGTGTAAGACAAGGCAGGCTGGTGAAGAGTGGGAAGGAGTGAACGTGTGAACATTGAACGAGGACGTCCCTTGCTCTCGGACAGGATGACTCAGCATCAGAAAGATGACAGTCTTCCGCAAGTCAGGTTAGGCACAGAGGCGTTTACTTCATGCACCGTTAATAAAAAAATACCAACTACGTTTTATCGGGAGCTCGACGTGTGGATAGTAGGGCTTCAGCTGGAAAATAGTATTTAACAAAATTGGGAAAAGCATGACCGCGTAGGTCAGCAAGAACAAGATGGGGAACCTACCTACCTACCAGATAGCTCAATGAACTCTAGGTCTCGGGTGGGTAGAGTGTGGTGCTGGTGCCACGTGGGAGAATCCAAACCACCAGACAGAGAGAGAGTGCTGCGTATTAGTGGCCAGAGTCAGCGCCCCGGGCTGCAGGGCCGGGGCTCCTCTGCTGGACGTCGGGCTACCGGGCGAGCCACCGCGGGCCTACGGCCCCATAGCTGGCTGTTAATTTTGTAGCCTTGTACATTCCCTGTAAATCACACGCGCGTGCGAGCATGCACACACATGCACACATGCGCACAGAGGCATCCCCAAACTCTTGTTTTCTACCGTGTTTTTGGTGATGCTAAGAACCATTGTCCCACTTGTCTCGCGTATTTTCACTTAAAACCCCAACTGAACGGACAGGAGAGCCAGGCAGTCGGTTCTGTTCTCGAGGTGGCTCTGAGCTCCCCTCAGCCCCTTCTCCGCAGCTGCACATGTGAAACAGCACACGGCACAGCGAGAGTTAGGACCCTAGGTCCTTCCCCTCTTCGACCTCATTTGAACATTAGATGGGTCCTAAAGTGCAGAAAAAAATTAAGCTCATCAGACAAACTGTACATGGTCAGAAAGATTCTAAAACACTGTCGGGTGACCTGGAAAGGCAGCCCCTCTGTGGTGAAATAATGAAGAACGTACTGACTAGTGGTGTGGGTTCCTGCTGATGCTAGAGCAGCTGGGGTCAGCGGTCTGGCCGTTGGGCATCCTGCCTTCCCCGGAACCCCGCTGCAGGTGCAGCTCGGTGCCCGCGGGGACACCAAGCACCTCAAGGGGCAGGAAGATGTGGAAGGCCAATGAGAGGCGGCCCCTCCTGCCCCGTCCCGACCCACGGTCTCCAGCCCATCTTCTCCAGTACAGGCCGGGGCTCTGTCCCCCTTAGGGTGCCTGGTCAGGGTGGCGGGGACGGGTAGCCTGTCTGATGCCAAACAGGAGGCTCTGGGTCATCTGCCTTTGTGAACCTTCTCCTTCAGCGGACGTGGAAACCCTGACCTGTTGCAGGCTGGGAAGGTCACTTGTAAGGCTCTGCCTGAAATCCCGGCCCATCAGGATAACCCTGACCCTGACCCTGACCCTGTCCCTAACCCTATCCTGTGTTAGTGTGTCTGGGCTGCCTTGGCAAAGTACCACAGACCGAGCAGTTTAAACAAACGAAATTCATTTCCTCCGTTTTAGAGGCTGGGCGTCTGAGATCATGGTGCCGGCAGGTTGGTCCCTCCTGAGGCCGCTCCCCGGCGTGTGGAAGGCCATCCTCCCCCCATGTCCTCACGTGGCTGTCCCTCCGTGTGCCTGTGTCCCCTCATCTCTTCTTATAGGGACACCAGTGACACTGGATCGGGCCCCACCCTCCCGACCTCGCTTTACCTTAGTCACCTCCACATCCAGGCACACCCTGTGGGCGAGGGGTTAGGACTTCACATACGAATCCTGGGGGGACACAACTCAGCCCGTGACACCCCCTGAGAGTTGGACAGTGGAGTCTGGAGAGACTGTTGTGTGGAATGCCACCACCCGCAGAGTGTGCCTGTCTGGGTGGGGGGCCTGGACCCTCTTCATTCCTGTTAAGAGAGACACCGGTGTGGCCAGAGATGGTATGAGTCAGGAATGGTGTGCAGCTGTGCGTGCAAAGGGCGGGGCAGAACAGAGCGCTGGCGTGTGGCTGGGTGACAACGTGGTGCCCAGGCACAGGCCACCCATGAAGGACATGGTCCTCTGGGGCTGTGGCACCCTTGGTGGAGAGCTGACCTGGCCCCCATCACTCAGGGGCTGCTCAGGAAGGCGAGCACCCCAGCCCAGCGAACAGACAGAACTGAGCCTGAGGACTGCTGGTCAGCACTGGACGGCTGACTGGGGGCCGGGGCAGAGTCGCAGGTGACGAAGTGCACCCTAGACACCCTAGCTTGACCACCATTTGCATTTTGTAATATTTCCTACCTAGTCATAGACAACTTTTAGTATTGAAATGGAAGCAAAATGAGTCATTTGTTGCCACTTCTCCTCCTCCCTGTAGACAGTGTTTCTTGCTCTGGGTGGTATATGTAGAGTGTTTCATACCATGAATATTTTAAGTGACGTCTGGAAGGTGTTAAATACATATTGAATACTAGTAGTAACAAGACTTGTGCATCTCGGGCGCCTGGGTGGCTCAGATGGTTGGGCGTCTGCCTTCGGCTCAGGTCGTGATCCCAGGGTCCTGGGATCGAGTCCTGCATCGGGCTCCCTGCTCCTTGGGAGCCTGCTTCTCCCTCTGCTTCTCTCTCTCTCTCTCTGTCTCTCATGAATAAATAAATAAAATCTTAAAAAAAAAAGACTTGTGCATCTCACAAAAATATTAATAACCTCAGTAGGAGATTGAAATGTATATAACAACATATTTCTCCAACAAGGCGTATAGAATCCTGGGGGAGTCCAGGGTTTGTTGAAGCCAACAGACAAGCGTGGCACGTCTTCCCAAACTCTCACTTCACTGAAGAGTTTGAAGGAAAAAAAACTTTTTTTAGAAAACAGGAAGACAAACATTGAAATTATGGAGTATAGTAAAGAATTTCACGTGGACTTTCAGAGAGAATAGACTTGAACAATTTTACCCTTGGTTCGATGGCCCATCTCCAGGTTCTCCGTGTCTGAGCGTAGCTTCCTCTGCTATGGGGTACTAATGAAATTTTGGAAACGCTTCCTTTATTATAACGCTAGAATCTAATAAGATTTGGTGGCCTCTCTGGTTCCAAGTAATCGTGGGAAAGGTAACTCAAGCAAGTGAACAATCTGTATTTTAAAATATTTGTGGGCTTGGCACCTCAAGTGATATACGCAGAAGGAAGAAAAAATCTAAAAATGTTTCCGAGTAAATTCTTCCATGAATTTGCTTCAATGCATAGACATGGGGTCTGCACTTAGCATTGTCAGTCATGACCTCACAAAAGTTGTGCAACATTTTCTCATTCACTCACATTCTTGGAGTAAAGACTCTTCGCAGTAAAGGCAAGACTAGGCTTCCAACGAAGACTACAAATTAACATAAATTTCCTATTTTTTAAATCTTAATTGATATAATTTATTATAAACAAAGGAATACATATATTTATTATAATAATTCAAAGACTGTTATAATACATAATTTTAAACTTCATGCATTCAAAGAATCAGGGACGTAGCGGACCACAGCCAGTTTTATTGTCTGAGACCTTTTTAAAGTTTTGTCTAATGGCCTGGGTTTTCTATGACCATACAAGTGCTGTACCACCCACTTAATTGCCTTGACTTATTTATATAAAGATGTCACTTTGTGAGGGACTGAGGCCACATTTTACCGTATTTCTGCCTTTCTCACTAGTTGCTAGTGTTGGCCTCCTAGCAGGGATTCACACACCAATCAAAAGATAGCAAATTAACCAATGGTCCCTTTAAAGTGTGCATGTTTGGTGAGTGTGCCTTCACAGTCCTTGGTTGTGAAACTATACTGAGGTAAGCCACCCATCATGACAACTGTTTTCCTCGAGTCCTGTGATCCAAGGTTAGAGGTCTTAGTCCTGCAACATCTGAATAAATTCCATACAAATAAAACCCATAGAAAATAAGCAAGTTTGAGAGATTCTACAAACCCAGTGGATTGTAACATTTTTTTGTGCACAGTTGCTTCAGAATGGAAGGAGATATTTGATTTTTAGTTCTTTTCCAAGTTGATGGGTTAAATTTTAGAATAAACTAGCCAAGTGGAACCTTCACCTCCTCCATAGTTGTGTGTGTGTGTGTGTGTGCATGTGCGCACGCGTGCACAGAGCACATGTGCATGGTTGCCACAAACAAAGCCTTAAAACCAATATTCACTGGCCTTGCAGCTGTGGCTATGTACTTTAATAGGTTTAGAGACAATATTTTGTAGCCAAACACTGGGACATACACAATAAGTACTAGGGTATACTTACCAGGACTATAAAATGGAATTTCAAACTAGGGACTATTCCAGAAAACTGGGAATTATGATTTCCTACCCCTCGGATGTCCCCATTCCGACTTCTTCATCATTTTCTATCCATTCCCAACCTGTCCATGTTGCTTGATTTCCTCCCTCTCGTCTGCCTTGTTTGACTTCTCTGGGGCAAGGACGATGACCACGCTGGAGAGGATTTGGGGGGTGGGGAAGGGCATTTTGTGGGCAAACTCTGTGGTTGTTAGGTGCAGAGTGAGCAGTAACAGGTAAGTTAGATCAAAAAGGTCACCCACACTGCCTGTGAAGACCCACATTCCTACTAGGAGTTTGGAAGTGAGGGCTAGTTCTGAAGACGACCCTGGAGAGCCTCGAGGGCTTGTGTCTTCAATGTGGTGCTGGGTAGGGATGGGGAACTAGATGGCGTTGGAAATTTCACTGAGTTAGGGGATAGCTCCTACTTATCCCCAGGCCTCATGCTCAGTGTTGCCTAGAAAAGAAATTCTTGAAGGCGCTATTGTAGTTCTTATTGAAAGCTGTATAGATGAGGGGGTTAAAGAAGGAGTTGGAGTAGCCCAGCCAAAGGAAGATGCTCTTCCAGATGGCGGGGATGTCGCAGGAGCAGAGGGGGCTGATGAGCTCTGTGGTGAAGAAGGGGATCCAGCAGAGTGCAAACACCCCAATGAGGATGCCCACCATCAGGGCAGCTTTCTGCTCTTTCTGTTCCCTCCACGTGTCCCCTTCTGTCTGGAAGGTGACGGTGGTGTGGCGGACAGTGAACACCATCTGGGGCTGCTGAGCAGAGGTCTTCGCCTGGAAAAGATCAGCAGAAGCTTCATGAAGAGCCAGCTTCTCATGCCTGTCAGGCAAGGGTAAGGTGAACCCAGACACAGATGCCTGCCTCCTGCACACCACTTGAAGAGAAAGTCCTCGATTGTCGGGTGTGGGAAACTGGCAGCCTGTGGAGCCCACCCTCAGCTGTGAAAACATGGCGACAGAGCAGGGGGGCTTGCTTACATCTTAGAAATGGAAGGAAGGGAGCATCCATAATAAATGTGATGACGATGAATTCCCTGTTGCTGCCTATTCAACAAGGAAAACAGAAATAACCCGGTCATGCAGTACATATCATTTACTGACAAAGGTACATGAGTAATCGAAAGGGTGCTAAGTCCTTACCAAACGCTTGGACAACTAAAGCCTGATTTTCCGAAATTTTAATAACTTTCTGTGTTCATGTGAATCCTCGCTAAAGGAATTTTCTAGAATTCCTTCTGGTGTTAGTTTCCTATGACTGTTTGCAACAGTTCACTTACCAGGACACTTATCTCCTCCAGGGCTTATTCTGTGTCCTTCCCCTCCCCCAACTTTCATGGAAAACAGACTCCAAACTCTTAGAGTCTCCCCAGTTGGGTGCTCCCCGGTCTCCTTTGGGCAGGTTTCCACAGAATCAGGCTCTCGACATTCTAGTCCCTTCTCCAGAGAAGTGGGATTTCTGGGAAAGGGGCTCTTCCTTCCATTCCGGTCCTTTTACTTCCATCTTTGGGGGATTGAAATAAGGAGTATCCAATGAAAAGACAGCCTAAATATGGAGAAATTACAATGGGTAGATCTACTAAACTAGCAAGTTAACTGGTCCAGTTAGAATTTGGGACAATTTCTGGGCCGATCAATCATTCACTGATACATGAGACTACATGGACATTAGCTATCATTCTTCCAAACCCCAGCGTTCTGTAACCCCAGTACATTTGAAAAGGAGAATTACACAGCTCTCTCCCAGGCAGCAAACAACCTTTCAGACAAAGGACCAAATCAGAAGGTCATTCTCGTTAACCTAAACCACTTAACCGGTTCATAGCTACATCTATAAATTGGAGTCAAAAGACATCGACTTATCTGTCATATAGAATAATGAGGTATAAATAGGAACACTATGGTTAAAGTCATATTAGTTAATATATGAATTATTAAATTTGTATGATAGCCTTCCTGTCATTTACGTGAAGAACAATGAAACAAGTATTGTACAACCAAAAAGAAGATCATCAATATTGGGACAAATAGTCCACAATACTGCAACCCTTAAAAACATACATAAAATGAGAAGTGAAAATCTCTTTCTATACCCCAATCTCACCCCGAGATGGAACGATAGTAACCTTTCTTATATTATTAGTGCATATCTGGTAGTACTTTGCAGGGAATTCATTTACAGAAATACAAACAGAATAGTTTCATTTTTCAGCATAAAACAGGGAAACCCACCAATTTCTTAATAAAACTCAATCCTAAAATGGCATCCGAGAAGCCCTTTCCCCCCATTTTCCAAAGATGGCAATTGAAGGAGAATTCTGGTCCTGACTGTTAAACCATCCCCCACCCTCCTGAAATTCTCCTCCCTCTCAGCAGTTTTTTGGTGGTAACACTGGCCACTCAGGGTTGTGACTCCCTTGCGCCCACCCCTTAATTCTCTATAGCACAGCTGATATAAAGGTGGAACACTTAAACTAGACTTTTGTCAAAGTAGAAATAAATACAGCAACATCCTGACTCCATGTCTGCCTTCCCTGTGGTCATTAGCCTTTGCAGACTGACTCCAGAAGCCCACGTTTAGTCCT